ATTCGACATCTATCGCAGAAATTATTTTTTTGCAATGGGTTGTTGATATGTATGTACGTGCAGAAGGAACCAGATTACACTTTATTAAGCCGAGCTATTTATGTGCAATGGCTATAGTTCAAGTTCACGGCGAACCTACTTTATCCATCACAATGACTTGGAAATCACAAGAATATTAAGTGATACGCCGGAATTGGCCAATTATCGCCCCATTACATATTTTTGGCCGAGTTTTCGACCACTGAACGACCTCTATAATAGGCAAGCATGTTTCTTTAAAACCTTTTTTCTCAGCTCGTGTACACCACAAAATCTACGCATATTGTTAGAAAGATATTTTCCTGTAGATGTGAAGAATCCCTTTATAAATTAAAATAGGCTTAAAATAAGCACAAAAAATTAATTGAAAATATTATCTATGTATACTTTTATCTTATCTTATCTATGTATACTTTTTCTCCCTTACAACTACTTACGGTACAACCTTTACAACAAACTATTAATTTGAAATAGGCTACTAATAGCTAATTGAAAAAGTCCCCAATCTTGTAGCAGCATTTATTTGACAACAATCCATAACTAAATCCCAAAGTAAAGTACCCATGATACTTAAGATGTTCGTCATGACGAGAAAGGTCGTAATTCCTTTCTAAAGGGAACTTTCCATATACCTAATGTTAAAAATGATATGAAATGGCTGTACTTATATGTTTGTTATTCTTTAAATGTATTACCTTATTAAAATCAGGTGTGATTATTTGTTTGTATTACTGTATTCTGTTTTGTTTATTTCAGCTTATTACTGATCAGCCAATATTACTGATTTTGACTTTAAAATCAATGGTAGGTCAATAATATCAACCAAAAACAGTAGTGGACCAAGTATTGAGCCCTGTGACACACCCTCTGCATTTATTAACCGTTGGTCCACACACTGTTTCCGGCTTGATAAAAAACGAGGTTACCCACTTTATAGCCATGCCTGACACAGACACACCATAAAAGTTTAGTTTTTCAATTAACAGGCTATGGTTTACACAGTCAATTGCTTTTGACGGATCACAGTAGAGACCAGCTACTGCCTGTGATTTGTCAAGAGCACCTGTGACTTCAGTAATAAAGCTAAAGATTGCGTCTGTCGTACTCCCCGTCCCTTTCGGAATCCAAACTGACATGTATCCAAAATTTGGGATGTTTCAAAATGTTCACACAATCTATATTGAAGACGACTTTCTCAAATATTTTTGAGAAACTATGCAATAAATAAGAAATAGGTCTGTAGTTGGATATATCTTTTGAGTCACCCTTTTTAAATAATGGTATTAGGTTTGATAGTTTAAACAGGTCAGGTAAAAAACAAGTATACAAAGAAATGTTTATCAAATGAACAATGGGTTGAGCGTTAAACTCTGAACTTGATTTCATTAATGAAGTTGAAATTTCATGCCATCCAGATGCTTTAGATGACTTTAAGTCTTTTATTATGTTTTGCACTTCTTGAAGGTCCACTGGCTTAAATGATATTCCGCAGTACTATCCTGATAATTAGACCAATTCGTATATACCAGGGAAAAATGTGGTTCGGATTCCACTATAAACTGTAGGTCCCTTAGTTGCCATTAGCTGTATGGGCTAGGGCTATTAATTAACAGCTGTGTCTAAGGAATATCGGCCTTAGTCACTAACAAGACTACAAGATCGCGCCACTCATCCTACACCATCTCCATTCATACTTGGCTTAAAATACCTACTATGTATGGTCGCCATTTCATTGAACAGTACAGGGTTATTACAAATGATGTTCCTGATTTTGATTATAAATATTACTGGGTTAATTCGTTTCAAGACTATTTTAGTTGGTACCATTGGAAAGAAAAACTCATAAAGTTTCATTTACATTGGTTTGGGTGCATATCAGCTGTTTGTCAAGTCAATTGTTGTAAGTGTTGTGTAATGGCTGAATTTGAAGGCAGGAAAGCTTTTTGCCAGTTGGAATATTACATTAACCAATCTGTTGTTAGTGTGCAACGACACTTTAGAACCAGGTTTAACGATTATCCTCCTAGTAACCACTATATTGGCAAGTGACACTTGAAATTTAAGAGTGTTACTTGTAGTAGGGCTGAACTGAACAATGTGCTGCCTGAGATATGGAACGAGCTCGGTGGTCCGAATAATGACACACCCCTGAACTGGCCTACAAGATCACCCCCTGATTGTTTTCTTGTGGGGATACATCGAAGATAAGGCGTACACACCACCATTATCGGATAGCATACTTGAGATCCAGCAACGGATTACCAATGCTATCGAAACAATAGACCTAGACACACTTTTCAAAGTCTAGCAAGAGCTTGACTACATTATTGACATCTGTCGTACCACAAGGGGTTCCCGTATCGAGCATTTACAGTTCTGTGTATCTGTGTCGAAACTTTTTGAGTTTTCCAAAAGTTGTAACCATTTTATTTCTTTTTATAACAAATAAAACTATATTTTATGTATGTATGAAATCATGAACATCATTTGTAATAACCCTGTACAGTATTAACAGTATTAACAGATATACGTTTGGACACGGGAGGGATTCTACTGTTTAGGAAGCCATCAAGAGCTTTGTCAGAATCCGAACCAACATTCAAGCTTTTACATTTATGTGTCAGAAAAAAATCATTAATTTGATTTAGTTGCGTCCTATTGAATGCAACAAGAAGAGGTATCCTTTTCTGCTGTTGTCAGTTGGATTAGTCTCTTTTAGCGAATTTCCCATATAGGGGAAAAAGCTATTACCGTAGTACTCATGGTAAGACCTGGGCCCGGGACCGATTTACTTTTTCGTTTTGAGGTCCCTAGAGGTCAAAAACCCCATCCGTTCAAATTCACATATATATACTGTATTATATGTGTCCGTTAGCACGATAACTCGAGCAAAAATGATCCGATTTTAATGAAATTTGGTATAAACGTGTAAACTTACATTTATTCGAACGAGTTCGCGCGAACCAGCATGATCGGACTATGGAAACAGGTTTTTATGGGGGGGAATAGGGTTTTCCCATTGTTGACCATAAAAGCACAAAATTTCACAATTTCTTTCCAAACCATTTTGTAGAGCTTAAAAACAAATAATTTAGTATATTGAAGCGTTATTGTACGCCTAATGGTTATGGAGAAAATTCCAAAAAATTGTAAATTTAAAATATCCATATTATTCTTACGGAGAATGAGACAACTGTTGTAGTTTATTGCTTGTTTATGAACATGTTTTGATCGAATTTGGACAATACTGTACATTCATTTCTTACTAAACTACAGTATTAACATTTTACAACAAAAACACTTTTTACCCTCCCTTTTGCAGCAAACCTAAGTACTCGTTAAACTAACCCTATTTAAATATGATAAATATGAGTGATATTTTTAAGGAGTCATTTTAGTGTAGATCCAATCATAGGCCATGGTGGAAGGAAATTCACTTAGTCTTTTAGACGGGGGTATTTTAACAATATGCCAGGCTGTTTTGGTTTTGTTACAGGATTCTTAATCCGATTTCTGTTGGACAATAGCTGATGTTATACATTTATTAAACATTTCTTGAATTATTTTATATGATCTTTAACACTTGTTTCTTTTGACATTTTAAGTTCATGTAATTCCCTTTTCCTTTTGCATGAGACTCTAATTCCAGTTGTTAACCACCCTTTATCTTATCACTATTTTTACTTCAACATTTAATATTTGCGAAAGAGAAACAAGAATTAAAATGCAGTGTAAAAGTTTGAAATTCACGAATTGTGGATATTTATAGGCATAGTACTGTGAATGCGATACTCCCTGCTGTGGATTAACGTCCGCACGACGCACGAGTGAGTAATACGACTCATTGAGATTATACGACTATCCGCAGTACTATCCTGATAATTAGACCAATTCGTACCAAGGCAAAAAAGTGGTTCTGATTCCACTATAAACTGTAGGTCCCTTAGTTGCCATTAGCTGTATGTGATATTAATTAACAGCTGTGTCTAAGTATTATGTCGGCCTTAGTCACTAACAAGACTACAAGATCGCGCCACTCATCCCACACTCATCTCCATTCATACTTGGCTTAAAATACCTACATTAATTGTTTGGTCGTCATTTCAAAGAAAATTATAAAAGTAAAGTATAAAGTACATTTACACCAGTCATTACTTCAGACTTGCTAAAAAATTCAGTCCATTGTTCATCCTTCAAAACGTTTACAAAACTATCCATTTTTTTAAAACTATAATTTCTTTTAAGGTTGGACTGATTTTTATCTTTGGTTCCAATTTCCTCTAAAATAAAGAAATAAATAATAATTCAAAATAAAGATAATCTAAACATAAACACTGTGTTAAGTGGTCAGATAAACTATTCTCTAAAACTATTGCAAGTTTTAGGGCAGAAATAAATTAGTGAAAATATTGTCAAGACAGGAACCAGAAACATTAGTAATTTGAGTTGGAACATATAAATCTCCAAAAAAATTAAAGGAACGTCAAATTGATAACAATTCTTCTGTATTTGGGTTTAAATATTCACATAGCGATGGCGTCCCCATCTTAAATAATTGATAACTGATAGTTTAGCCCCTGTAACCCCCTCCCAACCCTTGGAACCACCACTGTGTCCTTGCGGGGTTAAAAGGGGGCCGTGGTCCTTGTGTATGTATCTGTTATTGTCAAATGGTGTATAATTGTTGATGGAAATAGATGAGTTTATTATGCTGATACTTACCGGTATTACATACCCATATACCCATATGTTAATAGTCTACAATGTCAATAGTTAGTAAGGTTATTTGGGATAAATCTCTACGTCTTACATGTTAGAGACTAAGTATAATTTTGTTCGCTTATAGTCAATTGTAAAATGTATAGACATAATAATTGAGAAAGGATAATCGTTTTTGTGTTGGCAACATTGCCGACATTGCCGTTGAGTTGAGGTTGGTTGTGTGATGTGAATGTGATTCGTGATTGAGAATTGTGATTGTGAATTGTGGTGATTCACGACGACTCAGCAGACGTCAAGTCAAAACTGTCAAGTAATTTACATTTTCCATTTTATTGTCTTTAAATTTTTAAAGCGTTGTTATTTTAATTTGGTTTACATTTTGAAGGTCATTCAGAGGTAACTATTCTAATAATTGGTCATTTCAGTTGCTTAATTGTCAATATTGTCATAGGCCCTACAGACTATTAGTTTTGAAAAGTTTCATGTCTAGCCAACACTAGGCCCTACCCAGCGACTTCCAAGGTTTTTGATTATGTTATTATTTTGTAGATTGACAGAATCTCTTAACTTAGTCTTATATCAACCTCTAAAAGATTTAAAAAATTAAGGATACTACACATGTCTCATTGTGTAGCCTACGTACACAATGAATGAATCTGCCTGTGATGTGAACGTAGTAAAAAGGGTATCTACGTGAAGTTCAGTTAAACTGCTTTAAGCTAACTTATGTCTTTTATTATTAATCTATTTTGTTCAATATATGTTAAACTTACTAAAAACCCTTACATAATTGAAGTTGTTTTGGCTCAACCTTAATATCCCCGAATCTATCATAAGCTAAGTTAGCCTAGGTCTAGACCTTTTTACAAACTAACCTAAACTTTAGGCCTAACTTAAATCGTGACTTACCAAAAACGACCCACATTTTCTCTATAGCTTAATTTATGACCACCTAATTGATAATCATGTAACTTTACATCCCGATGCTTTTGATATCATAATAACAATTAAGCTTAGGCCTACCGCACAGAGACTTTGTCAGCCAACTGTCTAGCTGGAGTCGGGTGGACAATCAAAAAGTCGTCAAGACTGTTTGGTCGATGACTGTGGGTGCCACAACTGTTTAGTCGTCTTTCGAGTGTCAAAAGGATGACAGAAACCGCTGTCATATGTGCGTTACTGATCAGATTTCGTACAAGAAAACGTAAAAGATATTAAGTACTGGGTGCATCCAATTTTTAGTCAGAGAACCTTGAGAGACCAGTTGTTCCTCTTATACTCGGATTTGAGGAAATATCTGGACAAATTTTTCATTTAGGCTTACTCACAAATGAGTAGGGGCCTACCAGTACGGTATCTATTGATAGTTTTCAATATTTAATTTTATTATCATATCTGAATACTCCTTCAAAGACTTTTTTATAAAGAGGGGCTGTGCCTCTAAGTCATCAATAAGTTTATCATCTTTTTTGTCTAGCAAAACATTTGCACTTGTCATAGCCATAACACACTTTATTGACTGCGTAGCGCACACACAACAAAACTCCGTCAAACGGACAGACTTTTAGTCGTCAGTGTGCACGTTCAAACTTGTCTCTATGCCTTTATCAATACGACACGACAATTGAGTCGGGGAGCAGTCAGCGGGAAAATCGGTCAGCCCCGAAATGCCCTGACTGTCTTTTGACAGTCTGCCGCAAAAATAAAAAGAATCTATTTACGTTATGAACCTAACTTAACCTATTTAACTCAACACTATGTTTCAATAAAGAACATATTGCAACAAATTAACATTTAAATAACTAGTGTCCCTGTTGCTCGAATTCGAGCAATTGCTAAGTAGCCTATTACCTAGCCGACGTGGCGACGTCCTGTAATCCAGCTACTAGGAGGTTGTGGATATTTAATGGCATGCACTGTGGATATATTGAGGAATTGCTAATTATTACAGGCGTTATTTTAAAACAAATAACAGTCAAAATTTCTGATGACTTTAAAAGATTCAACTCGAAGATTATAGTAATAGGTACTGAAGATGTACTTAACAGATCGATATAATCAAAATTTCTTGTAAATAGGCCTATCTTATCATTTTTCATAAGCTGATCTTTTTTTTAGTTTTATACAAATAGCCTTACTCATAGCCGCATTAGGTTGTCCATAATAATGATTATAAATAAAAAAAAACATCATTTCTATTTCTTCTCCTTGGTGGTGTTCTATGACTTTCCTATGTTTCCACAGTTTGCAAATTGGCTCTTTCAATGATTAAAGAAATGCAGCACAGTCTTAATTCAATTTACTTTTTAGTAGGCCTACATCAATTTATCTAGGCTCTCTCGCTTTGTTCCATTGTAATATTTACGCCAACCCAAATTCAAATTGTAAATATTTCAATTCAACCAAGTCAGTAAATGTTTTAGCAATCTGTTAAATTAGGAAACTTATTGACTGTTTACAATTAAAATATGTTCCTCTCACTTTTAATTTCTGACAACAGCTGCTGGAGTTTCATAACAATGTTTCTTTCCCCATGTTAATCTTTTGGAGAAATACAAAACTTTAAAGGGCCCTAGGGACTCACTCTCTAATTATTTCCGCAAAAAGAAAGTTTCCTGCACAACTTCGCGTTACGCTCTTTCCAATGACTTCAAAAACATGTCAATCGGTTTAGTAGTTTCAGAGGAGTAATTGTCACAAAAAACCTGCTTGCGTATTAAATAAGTACTAGTGTCCCTGTTGGTTGCTCAAATTCAAGCAATTGCTAAGTATTACAGGCGTTATTGTAAAACGAATAACAGTCATGATTTCTGATGACTTCAAAATATTCGACTCAAAGATTATGGAAATACTCAAAATGTACCTCTAACAGATCAATATTTAATCAACATTTCTTGTAAATATCTTATCATTTTCAAAAGCTGATCTTGTTTTTTAGTGTTTTCTACAAATAGCCTTAATTTGCTACCGATGAAGCCGCAAGACCATATAAAGAGGAGGCCCAGTTCAAGAATAAAAGCCAACTTCATTTTAAGTATATTCCACTACACCTAATATTCCGTAGAGAGATTATATTGACAACTTTATGTAGGTAATTGATAAGGCCAAGACAACTAACTGACATCCCCCATGTCAATGAATTCCAGCTTTAACAGTAACCCCACAACCAATTTCTCAAAACTATGATAGAGGGTTGCTCATTGGCACAGAAGTACGATATGAACTGACCTGACGTGACAAAGGAAAAATCAAACTTACATTCAAACGGATATACCTCCCTTTGAAGTTAGAACGTGTCTTCCCAACAAACAGATATTTTTTTAAAATAAAATCATAGATTAATCTGCATTACACTGATGAAATCACGAAAGTACTTATTTAACAGAATAAGGTTCACACAGAAAAACAATTTTAAGATAACTCATTTGAATGAAAGGGGAATCACAAATAAAATTGAACAAATCGAACATTTTTTAGAATCAGAAAACCCAGATTTATTTCTTATTAATGAACATGGTCTAGACCAAAATAGCCTATCAGAATAATTAAGAATAGAAAACTTTGAATTTATTGCTGGTTATGGCAGAGAGTATAAAAATATGGGTGGTGTAGCAATTTTCAAAAATAAAAATTCCATAAAACTCGATAGCCTTAAGTCCACAGACATAGGAATAACTTTTTCAAAAGAAACAATTTTTGAGTGTGCTGAAATAAGTTTTTCTGTGAGAAATAAACAGTTTGTAGTAGCTTCCATGTACAGGTCTCCATACAGCAGCAACCTTGATGAATACTTTAGCAAATTAAATGAATATCTACTTAAACTGAACATTAAGAATAAATATATAGTAATAGGCTCAGATTTCAATATCGACTTGATCAAGGATGACAACACTTACCACAGATTTGCAACTCTGATTAAAAGTTTTGATATGAAACCAAACATTTTTGAACCAACTAGAATTACAGACACAACCAGCACATGCATAGACAATTTTTTAACCAACTTTGAAATATTATCAGCAGCAGTAAAAGAACCCCATATTTCAGACCACTGTGCTATCTCAATAGAAATAAGCCTACCTGAAATTATCTCAAACCAAAATAGTATCTCAAACCAAAATAAAACCTTAGAAAAAAGAATAATTACTGATGAAAATCTTCATGAACTTAAAATAAGGCTACAGTCAGAGGACTGGAACTCAGTATATGATGCTCCTGATATTAATACCAAACGAGAGCACGCCCCGTGGTCGAAAAATCGACCAAAAGTATGTTTTGTGCAAACTTCTCTATTTTCACCCCACACTGTAAATAAAACATGTGATTGGAATGTCTTCCATTTGTTTTGATTTTCTGTTTATATTTTGTTGTTATTTCGTCATCACCATAGCAACCCATAAAACCCATGTTAATTTTTTAAAATTTCAAATTCATTTTTTGTGCTTATTTTTGAGCCTATTTTAATTTATAAAGGGATTCTGCACACCTACAGGAAAATAGCTTTCTAACGGTATGCGTAGATTTTCCCTACGATACACACGAGCTGAGAAAAAAGGTTTTAAAGAAACATGCTTGCCTATTAATATATAGATAGATATGATAGCTTTATAGAAACATTCAAATATTATTTTGATATCAGCTGCCCGAATAAAAAAACAAAACTTAATCTTAGTCGCAAAGGAAAAAACAAATGGATGAACAATGAGATAATAGCTGCTAAGGAAAAAATGTTCCAACAATACTCTGTATGGAGGCTGACAGGAATGATATCTGACAAAGGATTATACCTAAAGCTTAAAGATAAATATAAAAACAAAATACAGGAAAGTAAAATAAAATGGGCACACGATTGCATATCCAGCTCAAAAAATAAATCTAAAGACTCTTGGAAGATTATAAACAGCATTAGGCCAAAAGAAAATTCAGACTGTAATAATATTATACTGAATATTGACGGTAACAAAATAGAAAATCCTATAGAAGTGTGTGAAACCCTAAATGACTATTTTGTTAATGTTTCGAAGCTTGTTAACAAGGATCAGGAAACCCATGCCTTATCTGGTTTTAGGAGGAATGGCACTGCTGAACTTGGACAATTTCATTTGATTACATCTGCTTACCTTCTGGATTTGTTCTCAAAGCTACCATCTAAACACTCTAGTGGTGTAGATGGAATCAGTATGCATGTCCTAAAATATTGTAGGGAGGAAGTGGCAGTTCCTCTTACCCACATTGTCAATTTTTCACTGACATCTGGAATTTTCCCTCAGAATTGCAAAATTGCAAAAATAAAACCAATTTTCAAAAAGTCAGACAGAACTGATCCGGGGAATTATCGCCCAATCTCTCTCCTACCAGTCGTTTCAAAATTGATTGAGAAAGTTGTTTCGGAGCAA